AGTTTTCAGCCTGTTGTGCAATACTAAAGGTGTTCTGCAATCATTGCAAGAAGAGTGAAGTATTGTTGCATTCTTCATTTTGTGTTACTTACATAAGAAGCAAAGAAAAAGCGGTCACGCTCTTTTGTTCTTTGTCGTCGAAAAGAGGTGAGTAAAGAGACCTTCCTCTGTATCATTCTTCGAATTGAACATTTAAGAATTACTCAAAAATGATAACATCAGTATTTTGGCACTCTCTCCTTTATTCTCTGTCCACTCTACAATGAACGTTGGAACCAACAAAATTTTGCGCCGTTTTTTTAATTTAAAACTCTATATAAAGCTTCGTCAGCGAATTATCTTTTTCGGCAGATCAAGATCAATTCTGACATCGTTCTATTCTTCTTGCGCCACCTTATGTTGTCGTTGACGTGTCAGAGATGAAGCACGTAGGCGGCCAGATAAGTTTTCGCACAATCGTCGTATATTCATTGATTCGTATATTTCTTCTGCGTGATTTTAGTGATATGTTTGGATGGTGGTGGAAAACTGGATTGATAAATTGAGGAAGCATCCCCACCTGTACAACTGAATCCTTATAGCATCATCTTTTAATCTCGCTAAGAATGTAGGCGAGCCATAATAAAAGCACAGACAAGAGTGTAAAAAAGTTCCGTTTTTTCCGTGTACAGACACAGAAAAATTCGATATCCGAGTTCATTTTCATTCGCACTTCACCATGCTATCCGTATATACTCATTTTCACACTCAGCTCTGCCCTGTGCCATTGGATCGGACATCTTTTATGAATATTCTCTTTCCAATCCTTTTTTGAGACAAATCGAAGTGTGCAGCACAATCGGGATCCGGACAGCTGCTCGCGAGGACAGTTGCGTGCGAGCACTTGCACGACAGACGCTAGCTGATCAGATTCAAGCAAAAATTTTCAGCGATGAATACACAGTATCATTGATGGAACTAATCAATTCAGTAAATCCCTCTTCCCTCACAAGAGAAGGCTGCTATCTCGGGAAGAAACTTCAAAAGGCGTAGTAGAAGACTGGATGCTTCAGAGGTCTTTTTTTCAAAACTCAGAGATTTTTGTCAAATAAAGTGAGCTCCAAATTTTAAACTCCAGGACGCCAGTGCGTGTCCACGTGAAACACACAGATGTAATGCCTTAAACTCTAAAATTTGACGCTCACTTGATTTGACTTAGATTTTTTAGGTTTTAAAACCCAAAAACGAAGGTTTATTAATTATTTTTTGGACTTTCGTAGCAAAACGCCTGGTTTTCCGAACAAAAAACTTACTTTCAAGCAAACGATATGAGTTTTATAATAGAAGGTTATACCCTTCTAATCCGGGATCGGGTTTATGTCGCTGAATGATCAATTTAAAACTTTATTTGAAAATTTACATACAGACGTTAACGATCAGTTAAAAGACATCTGGCGTTTACTGCCTTAGAGAAGTCTCCTTCTTCTCTTTGTATATTGTTGTTCAATGTTGTTGTTCGTTATTTATTTTTCATGTAATCCTTCGAATCGTTTCACTGTTATCCCGAAGTCTGTTTAATGAGCATCTGTCTTAATGAGCAAGTGTTCAAGCGTATATGTGTCCTAGCTGCAGGTGTCCACATGCAACTGTCTTCGCGAGCAACTGTTCTGAACCCATTATAACATGCGCGAGCTGTCCTACCGTTTTTCTTCTTCTTCCACTCTGTCACACTCTTCCATTTTCCTCGTACTCTCAATGCTTCAGCATTTGTCGTTAATTAGTCCCAAATCGGTCATTTCCGCTCTCTCTTTTAGTTCTCTCTCCATCGACAAACTGATCTTGATGAGTAGAGCAAAGTCGAGCTAGAGTAAGCATTTCCGGGTGCGTCTTTCCTTCAGATATTGGAAAGGCAAGTGAGAAAAATGACATGAAGATTTCCTTCGCGCAAAAGAATTCAGTATAACTGTGAGTCAAAAAAACTCGGTGGATCCAGGTGGATCGGACGTTTCCTGTTCGGGCAGGAAATCTTTTCGACTGTTGGCGTCATTTTCGGGCTGCTCGCCACCGTGGCTATGGGCTGTTCTCAGTATCGCATATTCTATGCGATAGTGGATGTAGAGGGAAGCTTGAACTGTGGTAGTCTGGTCACCAAACATGCAAAAAAATACAGAATAAGCACATGCAATAGTGTATTTGTTTTTCAGTTTGTGACCTCTTTTCAGACAAACTTTTATAACTTCAAAATAAAAAGGACTTGAAACGAAAAAGTTATAAGGTACAGGTAATTTTTGATGGCGAATCAAATGGGTTAGTTTTTATCAAAATATAAGTTTATTTTCTTCGTTTCCTGGCCCATTTAACTAATGCTTGGTGGCTTGGCGACTGACTCTTGAGCCCTTTAAAGAATTTAACTGTGATATCCAATATGTTACGAAAAGACATCTTGAAGATTATACAGGGTGATCCAAAAAGAACTTACCTCCTGTGTATTTATTGACTTTCTTGTGTACACATATAATTGAACTTTTTATCATTAGTTTATTCGAATAGAGCAAAGATTTCTGGACGAAATGAGACGTCTCCGAGCTCTCGAAGAGCTTTTCTCATGAAACAGCATTCAATTTACGGAAGCTCCCGTACCACCAAAATAAATACACAGGGGGTAAGGTTTTTTGGATCACCCTGTATATGCCGTTTCGGGATCAAGAAATAGCATATAGCAACTTAAAAGAATATATTGATATATATATATTACACTTGAGAAAAATATAATTTATTATTTATTTTGAAGGTTTTTTACATAAAACAGAATTTTTTTATTATGTCATAAATAAAAGTTGTTTTAAGGCTTTTACCTTTTTTGTCGTAGTCAGTATGTTTGAGTTTACTAATCAACTCATACTTATGGTTGTTGAATTTTATCAAAACTTTGAACTAATTCAGCCTTTTTTTTCTTTGTTTCTACTTCTACTGTCCTACAAACTATTTGCCAGCGCGTTTAATGATAAAAACCTGTTGGAGCTTCCCTAACTGATTGACTGGATATGGTATGAAAGTCAAAAAACTAAGTCATTTTCGATGAAAGAAACGTTTTTCATTTTGGATAAATGTTATAAAGTCTTTTTAATTGTTTATGCCAAGCACACTTCACAAACAAAGCAATCTGGAAAGATTCTGTTCATCAAAAGTTGTTCACAGTACTTGTCTCCACTAGATAATATATTTTTCTCGTTCTAAATGTTCATCAACGTAGAGATCCTGGTCTATACACTTTACGATGCGTAAAGTTTCCTGCTTGGGCAGGAAATCTTTCCGACTGTTGTCAATTCTGATACCGTCATTTTCTGTACTGCTCATTACCGTGTCTATGGGCTGTTCTCCGTACCGCATATTCTGTACGATAGTGGATGCAGAGGGAAGCCTGAACTGTAGTAGCCTGACCGCCAAACATACAAAGAAATAAAGAATAAGCACATGCTGCTTTACTTTGGATTTGGATTTCGTTTTAGTGTCACACACTTTGTTCGGAATTAGTCGGTGAAGGAAAACCTTTGGGTCGAACACTCAAAAACATTTTCTGTTAGGCCATGGCCCATTTTTTTTACAGCAGTGCAGGACCCGTGACACGACATTTCCGCGAACAGGGCCCCGATTCATCCACGAATTTTTCACAGTACATATTTGGATATTTTTGGCAGTGTTCGCGGGAGGTGACAGAGGGCGGGCCGTGTGAGAGTGAGTTCGAAAAGTAGTTTCACACTAAACATATTATCATGCGGCGAAACTGGATATCTGTTACTGTATCACATAATGACTATTTATCGCATAACTTCACTTAGGTTTCAGAACATGATGTACGAAATGCAAAATCAGGCTCATATTTTTCGTTTCCAATAAACAAGTTGTGGGTAAGACTGACATCCGTTTGCATGTGGGTAAGACTGACATCCGCAAGGTTTGCGGATGCCACGAGAGATGCCGACCGACTATGACACTAGGTGTGTAAGACACATATAGGTATAGAAAGTCTTTGAAGATGAATAAGCTTGAATAACTTTCGTAAAAGGGATGAAGCCTGTCAGAACGATAGACTACTAATAACCTTTGACGGTTACTAATCTGCGCTTTATTGTGATGTGCCTCTGGTAAACTTCATTTGTTTTGTAAACAGGTGGGTACATTAGCCTATCCCGTTCAACTGTTGTGCTCTTCATATCACCAAAAAAGGAGTCACAGGTCATTACCGTCCGCACTACTACTAACAACTAGACAATGGCCAAAAAGTACGTATTCTCACTATTCTCATAAGACAAGTTTTATGCAAAAAAAAACACGTGTGTCTGAGAAGATATCAGCTGCATATGAGCATTTATACGCCTGAAGCAATCTACCCTAATTCTGTACAAGAAAAATTCTGAAAATATGAATATTGCTAAGCCTCTCCGCTATTTTTCAGCTAGAAAAAACGAAGACACATGGCAGAATTTGATGCTTTTAACTATCTCACGGCCGTGCAAACCTATCACTCTGTCATTAAAAATTTTTTGTTGTTGATAAAGAATTCATTTTCTTATCAGAAAGAAGCCCTGATCATCAGCTATATGTTTGTGTGAGAATTCTGACGAACGAATTTAGCTTCTATTCCAGCAGTCCATGAGAATTTTTGCAGTCGTTTTGTTAATAGAAAAGAGTACGACACTTATAGCTGCTTTTAGTCCTCGTAATTTTGTGTTCAATGTCATTTGCGTGAAAAATTAACATCAATTCTGGACAATTGGTGTGCGACCACAGCTCAATTTTTCTCCCTGCGCTTCTTTTCAGGCTTTTTTTGAAAAATCTTTGTCTATGATTCCGTTGAACCTCGTCTTTGAAGACAAAGTGAAGTCTACTAATCACAAGTGTCATTTCGATTTTCATATGATCACTGGTAGCAAAAGACAACGAATATTTTTTGAGCCTCGTATTCCTAGTTTTCCGCTTCAGGATGCTTCCAAAGTTCTCTAGCAGACGTCAAACGAGATATGATTCGATACAAGAGGAAACAATTCGAAACATTTTTGTTTAATAGAACCGACTCCGGCTGCCGAGAAGTGAAAGATATCCTCAAAGATTTATGCTTATTCAATCCGTCATCAGCTCTATCATCGGATCGTTTACCACACGATTGCTATATGATCTTGGTCGGTCGCGTCAGAAGTCATGAACATCTCAAAATTCTGGGTAATTTGGTTGCTACGCGAAAAAAAATACCCTTAGCAGGTGCGGAGGAATATCAGCGTGAGTTTGCGGTAATGAACTCTGAAAGAATGGAATCCATCCTGGAATATATCATATTAGAAGCCGATACTGAACGGTTTACCAACCAACGTAAAAGTCATTTCGTCTACGAAGATAATTTTAATCCCGCTCTATTCCACATGGTCAGAGCGAGCTCATCGTATGAAAAACTGAGAGCTGTTTGTCGTCAGTATGAAACACAAGAAGGAGTGGATGTATCAAAGGTAATGGCCGAGCATGATCACCGTGTAGCACTGACTCACACCCATTTTCTCAAAAAAGGTTTATCAAAAGACGACGCAAGTGCATCAGCATTCGCCCTTTCGTTCTACACCGGCACAAAGAGCGAAACATTAAGTCGCGGCGCCAGTCTCATTGCTCGCAAAACCAATGGACAGGCTTTGGAAGCAAAGATATAAGATGAGATGAACAAGGCCGCCATTATTCTCTACTATTTGGTGAAAGCTCTTTCAAACATACCGTATTTCTGGGGTTATGTTACGCGATCTTGTCAGCTTACAGACAGTGAACTAGCACTGTATATGCCTGGCTGTTTGATCACATGGATCCAATTTAGTAGCTCAAAGAAAGGTAACCATGTGGTTGATTCAGATGCTTTCAAACATCGAAATACATTTTTCAAAATCTATTCGTTAACCGGGCGTCGGATTAGAGACTTTTCGAACTATCCAGAAGAAGATGAAGTTTTATTTTTACCACATTCCGCATTTCTTGTCTTCAATCATACAATAAGTCATCACGGAGAACAACATACGATTTACATGCGACAAGTGGAATTAGGCCTGTGCAAATGGTCGGTATTGTGGGTTGATGATCGAATATTTGTTAAAGATTGGCAGAACAAAAGTCACATGGAAAATGCATCCGCCAAAGCACTCAATTTGAATGTGCATTTTATTCCCAAATCGTGTACCGAGAGTGCATTGTCATTTCTTCGATCACCTTTTGGACAACGTTTGAAAAATCAAACTACATTTCGTATAGTCACGGATATGTATCGAGATAATGAACAACCGGCTCATAACGCAGGTGCCCGCTTGATCAAACAAATACGACAAATGGGTTTTCAAAATCCATGCTTGGTATTTGTTGGCGACAAACAAAAAGCAGAGCAAACCATCCAGTCTGAAATGAACTCGAGAGAGCAAAAAGATATTAGGGTAACCACTGAGACCAATGATTTAATAAACTTTGTCAATTTTGATCAAAACGTTTGAATGCAGTTTACACTGACAATTAATTCTACATGTCTTACTAATAAAAACTTGCATTATATAATCAGGAAAGAAATGTCTGAATACGGATTATGCAAAAACATTCCCCAGATTCGTGACGCTTTTGATTACTTAGAAAATTGGAATTGGAATTAAAATGGTGATAGGTTCGAAATTGAAATCGAAAGTGCGGTACTTCAAATGTACGTCTCTTTGAGAATTGTATTAGATAAGCGCGCTTTCACAAATCTAATGTTTTTCTTAGACTGCACTGTATAGTGGTTGGACGAATATTCTCTCAGTTCAGGTTGTTACAAATAGGGTGCAGCGATAACGGTAACCGCATCTTACCGGTTACTGTTACCGGTGTACATGTGCATATTATTTTTTGCCCCCTCTTCTTTAATACGGAATTTTTCATTAGATGTTTTTTCGAATCACTTCTTCTTGGAGAGCAAATTATTGCTTGTATACCATAGTCAACATGTAAAACAATAAACTTGAAAAACAAAAGAAATATTTGCTACACAAGTCAAAACACAAAATAAATGTTTCTTTAATTACAGTTCTCTGTTAATCAACATAACGTTGAAGAAAAACACTTTTTAACATGGAACAATCAGTGTGTAAAACTAACTTAAGAACACATATCACTCAGAGAACCGGTTGAATCGGTAACCGGTCAGAACCGGTTGAACCAATAATCGTTAAACCAGTTAGATCGGTAGCGGTTAACCGGTTGTCAACCGTTACCGTTGCATCCCTAGTTATAAATAGTCGAGAACTATTAAAGCTAGGTCGGGAAAACGTCTGCTTTTAGAAAATTTTGAGTTCCATTCTAAGAAATGTCATGTAAAAATTTATGATGAGAAGAAGAGCAGAGCCGAAAATGACAGATTTATTTATTCGACATTATTATTATTATTATTGCGTTGCGACCTCTTCGAGCTGTTTGAGAGCATGCATATTAGCCATTATTTGCTTCCATTTCTTTCTTAACTTTGCGATCGTTTCAAGCTTCTTTAGATCTTGGACTGACTCGAGTTGAGTTGCTGAGTCGGTAAGCTGTTCTTCAACGAGTTTTAGATCTTGATCTATAAGAACCTGCAGTGTTGTTCTTGGTCTGCCTCTAATGCCGCTCGATGTGCTGTTGTTGAAATATTGAAGCATCGAGAATTTCGCTGGTGTTTTGTTCGTCACTCATAAGACGAACAAAAAGACTCACTGACTCTCTCTTTTGAATAGGATTATTTCGATTTTATCGATGTTAATTTCGAGGTTCCATGCTTTTAGTTTATCCGGTGCTTTTGACTTTATTATTACGATCATTTCGTGTGCTGTACTGATAAAGTCAGTATCATCGGCGTAACAGATTTCTTGTGGAATCGATTTGTCACTTACAGGGCGTGGGCATGCTTTCGAATCTCGTTTAGAGCCAGTTCAAGATAGATGGTGAATATAACTGAACTTAGCTACGATGTTAGTTTCGAATGGTGACGAGTGTGCGTTCTTGATTTTCGCTTGTAGTGTTGTCTTACTAGTAGGACTTAAACCATTCACCAGCTGTCTTCATCGACGAGATCCTTCAGCTTTTTCGTGAGTTTGTCTCTATCTATGGTGTCAAATGCGCGGCTCATGTATATGCCGAGTATATGGATATCTTCCTTGACTTTGGTGATTCTGGCAATCATCCATTTGTGTGCTCATATGACTTCGGCTGTGCTTCTAAATGATCTAAAATGATTTGACGTCAAATTGCTTCGTTCTGTAATTTTAAACTCCATTTTTGAACAATTGGACTTTTCAGGTTTTCTAAAAGTTTTACGAAATACTCATTTAGGTTTCTGTTCGACTCTCTCAGATTCCTACGCCTCAGCTCTTCCAGCTCTGTCCAATGCTGTTTTTGAAAACCTTTTATCGTTAATCCTCGGTGAGAAATTTGATTTTGAAAATACACATAAATTTCAAAATATTAAAGCTTAATTTAAAAGTCATTGTTAGATGATCTTACGAAATTTTCTTTTGCAAAATGATTCTTGAAGAGTGGAGAACTCGATTATAGTATGGAAAACTTTCTAGCTCTTGAGAAACAGATAAAAGTTCATGTATAATGGTGTGGTTATATTGATTATCTTTTTTCGTTTAAACGTGGTAGAAGTCAGATTCAGTTCTTAACACTAAATTATAAAAAACAGGTTCGACGAAGAATGGAATAGAGAAATTGAATTTTTTTGAAAAAGAACCATTTTTTTTAATTTTAGTCGAGTTTTTTTAATTGTTCTTCCTTAAAAAAGCTTTTTGAAAGATTAAAAAACACATTTTCTTAACCTACTCGATGCACTCTATTCAACCATGTATAAAAAATGAAAAAAACGTTTTTCACTAGAAGTTCGAATTTCCGGCACCTTATGTATAGCTTATATGCTACACACATTAAGAGATAACAATGCATTATCCTTTTACTTTTATTACGGAAAGCAATCGTTTGCTTAGACACTTCCAATCCAGAGTTTCATACTGTAATTATCAAACTGATAAGTGAAATTTTTTAATCTTGTTCTTTCCTTTAACCATTTGTGTATATCTTCACCAACATTGAATTTCTCTTCACAACTTATAGTGGCACAGGTTAAATGTTTCATTTCATTTAACAATTCTATTAAATCATACCATTTATAAATCCAAATGTGCAATTGCTGTAGATGTGAAAACACACAATAAAATTGTTTCATACAATCATCTGAAAAAGTGTAATGCGACAAATTCAAGGATGTTATTCGTTGGTTTAAGTATTCACATATTGCTCTATCACTGAATTTACTTGTTAGCGTCAGCAATGGACAAGAGTTACCGAACGTTAGTGACGATAGACTCATTGTTGTTTGTTGTAACAAATGAAGAAAACATGTTGACTTTATATCACAGTCAATAGTCAGATGTTTTACAGATGATAAATTTATCAACGCTTGAATGTTATGACCGATTGTTTCATTTTCGACTACTTGACAAAGTACTAACGTTTCAACATTGGAATAATGTCGGTGGAACAATGTGTCGCTCAATATCAAACACAGTTGTTGAACATTATCATAAGCATGTGCCAATAACGTTGACGACGATGGTACGGTTGTTTTCGATTCAAAGGTGGATATTGGACATAAACGAAACTCATTGAACATATAAGGCACTGTGTAAACATATGTTTCATCTCTATCAACATGGAAATCGCAAACGATATACCACTGGTGTTGTTTTGTCCAAAAATCGGTTTGAAATGATTCGATTACTTGGTTCATGGTTGTTGCTATCAGAATATCGTTACACACAAACCGAAATTCTTCTAAACGTGGTAAATAGCTACAAATGAAATTCTCCCATTTCCTTCCATTGGTGAAATCTTCTCCTCGTGCTTTTAATGACAATTGTTTTAGTTGAGAAAATTGCTTTAGTAGTAGGTGAAAATCATCACATAGATAATACTCGATTGTCATTGATAATGCCATCACTTTCGGAGCGAACAAAGAAATAGAATCTAGTTTACTTCTGCCGTAATCGTTCCACATGTCTCTTATATTCAAATATTTTAATTGAGGTGAAAGCATAAACAGTCGATATAACCGATTTGGTGGGCATGTATCAATCGTTAAATATTCAATGTTTGATGTTGACAGCGGCTCAATTTTACTAAAATTAATGAACAAAAAGCCCGTGAGATAATTCATTATCCGAACGAAAGTTCCAGTGCGTTCGAAAGAAAGTTTACAAAATAGCAAATTCTAACATCGCAATAATAAATTTTTTGGATGAATCTCACCTGTCCAAGATTCATCAAGCCCAATTCCATGTAGCAAAGAATACAATAATATACTACAGAAGTTTAACTCATTCAACAGAGAAAGCCCTTAAATTATACAGATGAACTTAATAAGATAAGATAGATAAGATTTTTGATTAACTTACGTTAACTCGTTTTGACTCAAATCTAATGAAATTACATTCAAATAGATTATACTTTAACGATTAATTCTCTATCGAATGATGTGTAAAGAGAAAAGTGTCTGATGAAGCCATAAAAATGGATATCTTAATATTGCTTTTCTTCTGTAAGGAGTGACTGCATTATCGCAAAATCGACTTTTTATACGCTGTACAGAATAGGTCCAAATTTTTTTCTGAATAGCTTATTAGATGAATGCTCGGGCAGCTAGAACAGTAGCGCGTTTAAAATGGCGCCACTGTTGGCGCCAAAATGTGAAAAGTGTTTCAAATAAAGAGCTACTTTGCTGCCCGTACATTCATCTAATAAGCTATTCAGAAAAAAATTTGGCCGATTCTGTTCAGCGTATAAAAAGTCGATTTTGCGATAATGGCAGTACCCTCTTTCTCTATTGTTCGTCCGAAGAGGGTTTTCAGCGATTTAAAGTCGCTTTCGTCCAGCTAAAAAATATCCTACTTTTAAAGCAAGGGAGCTATGTTGTTTACTCCATTTTCAGAGATAGCCGAGTACGAGTATAGTCGAATACAAAATTTCTAGTACTGGTACTCAGGACTTTTTTAACGAGTGTTCCAAAAAATACTCGACTACTTCCCCAAAACCTGGTGACCTGTTTTTTTACTATTTGCGTATCAAAAATCGATTTATATTCACCTGGTTCTTCAGAAAAAAAATACACACATGTAATAAAGTTTAAAACGAATGGTAATAAGAAAGATATTTACTGGTGCTCGAACAAAAGTACTTTTATCATTGCAATCCTGAGCTCGCGCCTTAAAAATTTTTTTAAATGTTTTGGTACTTTAAAATTATAGATCTTAGCTCCTTATGAGCTGCTCTGACAGGAGTTTTTTCTTCAAAAATACTTTACGTTATTAAAAGATAAATTATCATTAATTTATACAATTTTCGTGAAGCTGTACTCAAGTATCAGATTTCCTGAGAATTAAAACATGTTAATAAATTAATGAGACGAAAATGTTTGATAATAATTGATGACAACAGCAACAAAATTAAGTTTGTTTATCACCAACAACTAGCTTATGTTATAATACGAATGGTAGTGACACGCCTTAAGATGATTTGGACACGACAGATATAATTAAAATATTCTTACAATCAGATGAATTTACTCTACATAATGCAGCATATAGTAAAAATGTCCGTTATTGCATAGTATTATCTAGCTATGGAAAACAACATGTATTCGATTCTAATTTTCACAATCAGAAAGAGATTTGGATTCATTAGCTTTTTTCAATATGAAAATAATTCAAATACTTTAATAAAAGAATTATAATTATTGGGAGACATAAAAAACACATTTATATAAAATTAACTTTTGTGTACCATTTATTTTTAAAAGTAAATCATCACAACAACTTCATTTAAAGAAATTTAACGACATTATTTCAAAATTATCGTATCAGATACTACCTTGTAATCAAATACAAGTTTTGGAATTTCGAAAAATATTGGATAGTAGTTAGCACGTATCGTTTTATTTATATGCATTTTTTTCTTTAGTAACTTATGTTTCGTATTTACTTTTAATGCTTTGTCTTTTTTTGTAAGAAATTAAAGCGGTATGGTTGACAAAAACTTTTCTGTCTTATTTTATAGAGTCTGAACGAAAAGGGTTATGCAAGAGCTATTTACTGAGATACTCAATTTTTACGAAAAGCCCGTCTTGACAAACCATGATTTTAAACTGTAACTCAGTAACAACACATCGCTAGGAAACCAGATGAGATTTCTAGAAATCAGAACACAAAAATTTTCAAACGGATTTATGATTTTCAAACCGACCGTTTTGGAGAGCACATCAAATTATCTACGTCAAATTATTTTATCGGATTAGTTTTGATGAGATGAGAAACTTTTAGCGTCAGTATTGATTAAAGACGTAAATATGTGCGTGTGTGCAAATACTAAAATCTTTGAAAAATTTCAAACTCATTCTGACAGCATCCATAGTTATGAAGCTATTTTCACTGATGTAATCTCATGTGCTCTCCAGAACCGTCGGTTTGAAAACCACAAATTCGTCTAAAAAGCTTTTCTGACCTGATTTCTAGAAATCTCATTTGGTTTTCCATGGGTTTTAACGAACACAAATATCCTACCATGGCTCATGATAGTATACGCGGTGTACTCCAGCAATATTGTAGAGGATCGGAAATTCGTCCCATTTTCCAACAGAAAACCGTAATGTTGTCTGTATATTGTTTTTGTGTGATAATGACTATAAAAAGCAACGCAGATTAGGTATGCACCAGTTCCAGTTAACTGGACTGTTCAGAGCTGAAACTGTGAGGACTGAACTTTTGAAATAAATTCAAAGAAAATTTTAAATTCTGCTGAAGAAATTTTTGAATTTTTTTTGTTTTAATGGACTTTTTCTGTATCTCTCATAAGGAAACACACTGATAAATCGCTTTCTAATAATTTCTAATGAGTTATAGGTTATCGACCAGGCTGATTTCGAATACGGCCAACAGTCTAAATGTTCGATGTCAGCTACACAGCTTGTCCAGCTAACGGCCTCCATCTTTTGCTCTTTTTCAAAAAGTTACTGAGGAATAAAACTGCAAACTAATCTAAAATGGCAACTAGATGATTAAGTAAGATGCTCGCAGGTCAAACTCAGAGTGAAATTGCGTTTTGACTTTATTATATATATTCTGAATCGCCAGGTCGAGCTGATCACGAATATCACCTTAGATTAAATATTTCTCTACAAAATGAAAAGAGTCTCGGTTCTAAACGTTGGTTTGTTATGAAAATACAGCTGGTGGACCTATTCTAATTAATCTGTATCAATCAAAGAAAAAACAGAAAAACGGCAGCCCTGTGACACTTTTGACTGTTAATCATCTAATTGCCATTTTAGATTAGTTTGCAGCTTTGTTGCAATAACTTTTCGAAAAAGAGCAAAAAATGGAGGCCGTTAGCAGGACAAGCCGTACAGATGTCAAAGCTACAGAAATAAGAAGGAAAAAATTAATTTAGGGCTTTTTTTTATAAATTCTATAACTTTGCAAAGAAAGGTCGTGTAGAGCTGGGAGATGTCTCGTTTTGATCAGAAATTTGCGGGCTACAATCACGCCTTATTAAGAAAAGTTTTGGCTACTTTTCAGAGTTCCTGAAAGACTGGTTTTTCAGAAAACGGAGTTTTCGAAGGGCTGTTGGTCATGTTCGGAATCAGCATGATCAATAACCTGTAACCTATTATATTTTGATTAGAAAGCGATTTATCAGTTGGAGATGTTTCCCCGTAAGTGGAGCCTCACTTTCAAGATTGCAACAGTTCTCGGCAGTTCTAGACCAAATGGTAGGAGGATAGCGAACTCTAGTATGAATAGAACATTTTCCCTTTTCGTTCGTTTCTTAATTTCCAGGTTTCTCTCTGAATGTTAATTGAAAGACGGGTAAAAAAATCCAGGCATATAGTCGAGAGTATTTAAGTGATCCGAACCAGCTTCGAATATGCATGTTGCTTTCGAAATACACTGTACCCGATGAAGAATTTCAAGATCTGTGATCTCTTTCAGATTTCGCTGCATTTTCCGTTCTATCAAAAAATTTCGAGGCCCTTTACGTACTATCGCTCATGCTCAGAAACAGAAATATATGACACCACCAGTAGAACTCAACATATTGGTGTGCTCATTTTCCCAAAGTTGAAAGTCTGTTTGTATGGTTTTCGGACACAAACAACGTTCAGAAGTGAAAAGTAGAGACAACATTTTTTTCCAGTACTCTATGAGGCTTAGTGATTAGCTAAATTTCTAAGTCAGACTGACTATTTACAAACTCGTTTTGTTTTTCTCCCTCTAAGTAAGAAGAGGGTGCCTTATTTATCACACTGAAAACAAA